GAGCAGCCCCTCCCGACCATGCTGCTCCGACTCCTCCTCCTCCTCCTCGCCGCCGGGATTGAGGCACACCCGGCGGGGCTCCGGATCCAGCAAGAGCTACTAGCCAGCCTAGCCAGCCAGCGTCTACGCTTCCAATGACTAGCCCCAACGAGGCAAGGAACAAATTATACGAGGATGATGGACATCTTTGTTTTTGGTTAATCTGAGTTGAAGCTAACCATCAACACGGAAAATACGATAGTCATGCACCAATCGGCACCCAACTCCGAATGAAATGAACTCCATATAAGTCAGTGGAGCACAAACATCATCACTAGACAAATTTACATACCTCAAGGTACAATTTCAAGGAATTTCGAGGACGACCACGAAGCGATTCACTGATCTCCAAAATTATCGAGGTATTTGGTCGGCTAAAGCCAACAATTTGGAACCACTGCAAAATCCAACCCAATACGAAGCTCAAAATATGCAGAGCGGTTGCCTCGACGATGCTGCGCTATGTGCCGGAAACATACTCGGCGCCAAAAGAGACAGGTATCTCAATCATCTCCACTTCTGCCGACACTGGGAGAAGTAGCAAGACAACGCAAAAACAAGGGATTTCCGAAAAGAAAAGGAATTGTCGATATCGATGCTGTTTTGAGGGAAGTCCAATTGCGATATAGCAGTAGCGTAGTGGTAATGGGCGACTAACGCCTATTTTACGGCGTATCCATGAAGATTTGCGGTGAACCACTGCAGACCAATATCATCCACCGCACATCTCCCCACCACACCTCTCTCACAAGTAGGAAATGTGATCTTTGAATTCTCCGTTTGGCCTGTGTAGAATTCTAATGCCTGTTAGATCCTAGCGAACCACCACCTTGATGTGAAAATATGGTGTCGCATGTGGCATTCGTAGACGGACGGTTTAGCTCTGTCAACCACTTGCGCTTAACCCCTGCATCAAATGACTGACCAGTTCGGGCAATGGACTGTTGCCCGAAAGGAGATAACGAGTTCGTCTCTTGGAATCCATCTCCGTAATAGTTCAGTGCGTGCCTCACTATAAATTTTGCATCGTTGACTAACATTGAACTAAACGTTGTGTGTGACAGTTACGAATTAACGGTACAATTCTGACCTTTCCGGCAACCCTGTTTCTCTGCCGACTAGAAGGCTGAGTCTGGCACAATTGCCTCTTTTAACGTGGCCTCTATAGCACTCCCGCGCATGGAAGATCCAAGCCGCCTTTCTTTTCTTTGCGAAAATCCACTTTCAAATATGGAAGTAAGTAAGTAAGTAAGTAGGGGGAGGGGGTAGGTCGCGTACGACACGCGTTCGACCGCTTCTCCTGCCTTCCTGACTCTGCCTGGACATGCGGTTCGGGTGGAGGAGAGTGCAGTAGATGCAGCGCAAATTTACTTTCACTAAAAATTAATTTACGTGCAAATCACTTTTTCTGCACTCACCATGTTTGGGAGATACACGAAAGACATCGTTTGACCGTGTCAGTTAAACTCTCGCAGTAGGGTGGGGTTTCCTGGGAAAATTTCATAAAATTCGAAGGATCACTGTGTACGAATCGTAGCTTCAACTATTTTAAAACATGCCAGTCTTCGCAGTTAGGATACACGAACAAGCGGTTTAAGCACAAATTTCAGTCGAGACGTGACTGAACAGACCTTAGAAGAACCCTTCAGCACCACTATTGTTTCATGCAGTTTACACGATATAAAACTTTGTTCATCGGCATGATATGTGCTACATACTATTCCATGACGGCAGGCGTTTGAGCCCCTCGAGATGAATTTAGGAAAGCGCTCGCAGTACAAGGACTAAACTCCTGATGAATGACAAAGCAAGATATCACCGATTTTAGCCTGATATCTTCAGAGCTGTGATGTTACAGTGAGTTAATTCTGCGACAGACTGGATCTAAGGAAAGGAATGATCGAACATCCTATCCAATAAACATATGCTGCCTATTTATAAATTTTTTGTAAGGCCTAGAACTGACGAAAGCTAAAATGCAAAAACCGACTTTATGTGTTCCATTTCAGAACAATACTTCTGTACGGATTACACACATGATCAATGAACTTAAAAATGCGGAGATCCGAATCTGTCCTTCAAAGCGTATCGCCGATGGACGAGTATCATGTCGGTTAAAATGAACCGGTTAACCGCGTCCGTATCGGTGGTTGGCGTAGATTCTACAATAACTACAGCGCGAGTTTGGTTGAGGTAGAAACTAGTCTGAATACCAGTCTTTCCTGTGAGGGGTAGCTAAGGTGGTCAAATAAATGGCTAAGGTCAACCTCCAGCGGACTGGCAGACAAAGAAGTTCAATTTCAACCGACTTTGAGTCCTGATGTCTGTTTCATTAGGCAACTATTCGGTGTGGTTACTGTAAACATGGAATTGGCCAAATAGGCCATGTATATTTGTGTTAGTTGATAGTCAATAGCAACAACTGGTTCGCAATGACTTTACTAACTTCAGTTGCCAATAGGCTGCCGCTGTTTGCATGCCCCTTGTCCCCTACTAAGTTTACTGCATAAGGTGTGAACATCAGAACTTTGAATAACATGTTCCTATTTACAAGTAGAGCCTAATATAAACCTCTGTTAGGTTTATAGTATACGAGGAGTCAGTACTATACTACGAACTCACAAGATATTTAATTACAATAGTGCAGATAGTGTAAGATTGGCCCTTACTGTGCATTTTGAGGGATTACGATAGATTGAACTAGACAGAATACTGGTGGCAATATAAACACAAAAATAAAAACAAACATTAAAATTCGTATAAGATCAAGGAACTAGCTATCAAGCATAAAATTAAAGTCAAACCATTTAATGCAAGTATTTACTAACCTGGCATGACCCTCCCCTTGTCTTCAGTTGCTGACGAAGTCGTCTGTTTTCTGCCATTAGCTTTTTCAAAACGGCGGCATCAGAGGACGATAGATTGTCAATGTTAACAGAAATCACGTTCCTTATTTTCTTCGCTCTTGTGGCGTACTACAAAGTAATCGAAAAGGGTGGGAACCTTACTTGTAACGTATTGACAGACTCTCCTAGATCGATATCTGCAGGCGAAATACAGGCTATCAAGACAGTTCGCGAGTTCCCGCCCAGCGAATCACAAAGTAGTCGAGTCAGTTTTGAGTCACGGTAGGGAACATGCTTTTGGTTTTCCGAAAGGGCATTGATAACGTTTCCAAGGGCCAGCAGTCCGAAGTTAATTTTGATGCCTTCTTTAGCTCTATCGCCTTCAGCACCAGTACGGCCAAGTCGTTCACTTCCGGCGAGGTCAACAAAATGAAATTTTGATGAGATAAGCTCCACACGTAGGCCCGTCTGAAAATGAGTCATTAGCAGGCATCAGATGTACCTCATCTTTCTTCTTTTGGTTAACAAGTAAGGTAAGGATAGCGTGTGAACGCGAACTTTGTGCGTTCATTTTTGTGGAAGCCGTAGAACGGGAGTAACCGCCGGAGCGTAATACTGCTAAGGCCTACAAATCATTATGACAAATGGTGTCAGTCACCTCCTCAGCAGAATGTAATGCAACCGTTGTGGCTCCAGAAAGATATATGCCACCCCCGCTCTTTTCTTGAACTTTTACGATATTCTAAAAGTGTAAGGTAATAGTGCCTCCTACCTTTTTTGGGGTAAGAAGGTCATGCAGTTCCTCATTATAAAGCTGGGAAAATAAAACATATAAGAAATTACCTCAACGAACTGCGCCTCGACGTTTACTTCGACATCCTCCATTGACTTTATACGCTCGAAGAGATCCATAAAAGCACGCGGGATGATGCCAGCACTTGGTGGTAACTCAGTACCCTCAAATTCGAATGCAGTGCCCATAGTATAGGTTTTACCCGAACCGGTCTGAAGAGTGTACTGAGTGAGGATATAAGCCTACCTGTCCATAAGCCAGAACAGTCGCATTAATTCCCTGCAAACAACTGTCACACATGTAAATACATAAATACAACTTACTCTCTCACAAGGGATAAAACTAGAGTTTCATAAACAGATATTTGTTCAGAGTTATTGGAAAATATATAATCAAAAGTGAAAGAGCGATCAGCGCCAATAATAAGTGAAGAGCTCGAGTCATCGTGAGTAACAACATCATGTCCACCGGTCTCAGTGATGGGACGAACGCTAATCAAATAAAAAGAGAAAAATTCCATTACCGTATAGCAACCGTAATTTTGTCGGGAGGCGCCATCTTCAAAATTCCCACCCTTGTGTGTTGCGCCGAAATTTACATAGTTTATTGCCGAACGTTTAAAACAAAAAAGTGTAAATATTTCAAATAGCATTTGTTTGCCCGTTTATGGCTTGAGACAAGACAATGTCGTTATCTTCATAAATTTCTTCTATTGGTTGTCCTCGTCCATGCTACACAGGTTTTGAGCTTTCCGGGCTTCGCCTCTAGTATTTTCCTTTGTTTAGTAAAAGAGGGTCCACGCGGATAAAATATCCCCAATGTTTGTTTCCATACTTGATTTCAATTTAAAAAAGTAAGTTTAGACATGGGAAAAGACAAACCACCCAAGAAAATATGACTTTTGCGTTTGGAGCAAATTCAGAAAACGGCACACTTCTCTCCAGTTTTAACCCGAACGTCAGTGTTAAGTCTTACGCAAACCCTTAACATACCGTTATTCATAGACATTACTCCTTAAACTTTATCCACAACCCAATTTTTGCCCCGGTCCTAACCTTAACCTTAATAATTAACCTTCATCTCTGTAGAATCCAGTGCAAGGCTGCCTAGCTTACGCTGCTTGCTATTCTTGTCTCAAATCGTTGGTAATATCTTTGCTTGGTTATTTTTAAACGATCCGACGAAAAAACGCTGACCACACTTAAATGGCTGAGTAAGGCCATCCAGTGAAGCCGCCTCAAAGAACGTTCCCATTCCCAAGTGCCTTACGGAATCGTGGTTAAAGGAGATAATATTTGTGCAGTGTGGTGGTGGGTGCAGGAGTGCCCGATAACTCGAAGAAATTGCTTACCGATACTGATTCTCTAGCTTGTCTTCGGACTGAATAGAATGGGCTAAAAGGCAAGTATGCTTAAACTAACTGAAAGGAAAGGGCGAAAGCTCGGTTAGGTAAAAGAAAAATCCAAAAAATTAAGGCTTGAAACAGGAAAGTCATTCAGACGAATGCCATTGGTACGAAAAGGCATTTTACCGAATATTGAAGTCCAAGGAAAAAGCAATTGAACCCGCATGATCGGCAGCCAATCAGGAGCCGCCAAGATTGGTGAAAGGTATACGTAAGTTGATATATATATGTTTATTATGCCAGTTAACAGGCATT